CATAGGATCGGAAGGTCTCCACATCTTGGGCCCTTGGACTATACCGTAAGTTGCCCAGGTGGGGACCAAACAAATTACAAGTTAGGTCGGTTGCGGTTTCCAGGGACTCGAACTTGTACGCAAAAGACCGTGGGTTCGCACTTGTGCAACATGACACATCTCGGGTAAACATCCTGCAAGACGGTTGAGGCATGTCGTGACAGCGTAAGTTGGGATGAGGTGTGAGTGTGTGTGTGTGTTTTTCCTAGGTCTGGTTCCCTGCCTGGTGGTTGGTCGGTCCGTTGGTTGGTCGGTTGGCTGGCATCCCCCGCATCACCCTCACTAGGGACCTGGGGCCTCGGGTTGCCGGTTGGCAAACCTCAAGCCACCGCCAAACCAGGAGCACAGCACAAAAAACCGCTCCGAGCAAAATGGAATCTATCACCACTGAAAATATGGGAACTGGTTTTCCAGCAAACTTCAGGAACCGGCACCCATGGAGAGGTGTTGCTGGGATCCCTTTCAAGTTGCACTCTCTGCACCAAAACGGCCAGATGGATTTGTCTCCCCGTTTCGAAACGACCCACGGCAAGCAAACCCCGGCTCTCCACGAGCCTGGCCATGAGTATGCCCAAAATGACCATAGGTGTCCTTGTGGGTTGTTTTGGTGGAAGCATAGATGGCCTGGTTTACCTGGTGGTTTAATCATCCACCAGGGCCATCTATTTGCCCCAAAAGGACACCTATGTAAATGACTTGTACCCTGAAAATCCTTCAGGTTTGGACGCCCTGAATATTGCAAAGAAGCCCACCGCATCCGACCACAAAATTCCGGGTAACTCGCGGCCTGTTACATGTCCCTTAGTCCCTCCTTGCAATCTTACCTGCACAGATCAACGTTGGACTCCGAGAGCCACCGTTTTTTCTCAAGAATCTGTTTGGGGACTGCGCTTTGGGGTTCTAGGCTCCATAGGCTTACTCTTGACTGACCTCCGTCTTGTATCGCGCGCCAGATGTGTTCTCCCTGCCACGGAAGAGAGCTGGGTGGGTGGGTGGTGGGTGATCGATGCTCGTTGAGGCAAGGGGGTTTTACTTGAGGACTTTTGGGGTGTGTCTTTGTTTTCAGGGGACCTGGTTTCCTTTTGGTTTCCCTTTAAACTTTAAACCCAAAAAAGGGTTCCTTTAAAAGAAAAGCAGACCCCGTTGGACATTGGATGGGATTTATGTCCTCAGAATCCACCCATTGGGTAGATGTTTCCGGTTCAGATTCATAGCCAGCTCACACGCATTGGGTGCAGGTTGTTTTTTCTTCGGACGGATGCAATACCCTTTGCCCCCTATTTGTGTGCGGTTCAATGAAATTACCACCCCTTAATGGGTGTTTTGAGGGTTGCGTTGTGTTGTGTGACGGCGAAATTTCATGATGCGAATACCGCAACATGGATCCAGTTTCTGGAAAGATGGCTGCCATGACCCAACGACATGTTGCCCTTAGGAGATTTGGGTTCTCCAAGTGGAGATGGTTGGTGTCTCTGCTGTTTCCCATTTTACTTCCCTTTGGTTTGCCAAACTGATGAACCAAGAAAGGCGCCCCACTTAAGTATCTAAGTATCCAGCAGGTGACCGGAGGGCAGCTCAAAAGGTCCTCGCCAAACGTGGACGCATATGTGTCGTGGTCGAAAGACCGGTTCCTTTGCTTGTGGGGTAAACGTTGGGATGGTCACTTTGGTATTAAGGATCCTTAACCATCAGAATGATTCCTGTTCGAACCATGACCCAATCGGCCATAGAATGTGGTTTGACCATGGCACATATGATGTCTGCGTCTTCTTTGGGCTACCCTTGTAGTCGTTGTTTTTCAGGAAGCCAACAAAGCACTTTGTTTTCGGTGAAGCTCTACCAACCCATATCCCAAAGGCTCCAAAAACTTCGAGGGTGTTGGTACCTTGGTTGTTCCTCAGGTATTTGGATCCTTTGGACGTCCCTAAGTCTTTCAGGTTTATACACGTGTGTAACTGTCTCAGCCACGTTTGGTGCTGTTGCCTAGATCGAATCACAGACCATGGAGGAGACCTTGTGTGAACGCGTTGTATTGGTCTTTCCCCCAGTTTCCGATTTGTCTTGCAGGTTCGCGGCAGGGAATGAGAAACGACATGACCCCAAGAAGATCCATCCGATTTGGTTTCCTTCATTCGGGCATCCCCGAAATGTTCATTCCCACAACTTCGGGTCATTCCCACGCACCGACCCAGCCCTTAGCTTCAAGTCTGTTCCATCAGCGGGCCTCTGTGTGCTGAGAATCGATCGCACCGGGCGGCGAAAAGCCATGGGTTTTTGGGGTTATGTTGCCCGGTTGCCCAGAATACAAAGCCGTTTTGAGGCTTTGTACCTCTGGGACAGGAGTCATGGGCCACGCGCATTGAGGTACTTGTCTTCTTCTTTTACGTGGGGTTGTTGTTTTTTCAGGGTACCCTTTTTGGCTTTAAGGGACGCCACAAGGAAACCCACCGCCAATTGCTGGTCCCCCCCCAAGTATTGATCAAGGATTCCGCGTTTGAATGCTATTTCCGGCCAATGGCCGGGCATGTCTTGGGGCTGGTCCCTGTATTTTCTTCTGCTCCGGAACTTCATGACCGCATTCGGGTGCACTTCCCGGGGTCACTAAGCTCTTACGCCCAACGTACGAGACGGTTCATATTTGTAGCTGCCTGGATGGCCAAGTTGGTGCTATTTTACAGAGACTTGTTCAGTTGGGGACAAGCTGCAACTGGCGATCCAGGTGAGAATATGATTGATAGTCTACTGCCGGTTTGAAAGCGGATGAGGGGCGGACAAGCCAAATCTCAACACACCAGGACAACCCTAATTCGGGGCCCCCCAGTAGTGCCCTTCTCTCCCCTTTTTTGGGGGAGGGTTCTCAACGACTACGGAAAAAAGGGTACCCTTATTCTAACCTCTCTACTGGAGGACCTAGTAGTTGTCCCCTGTCCTCTTGGGGAAACATTTGTGAAAAATCGTTCACGGCAAATGCTTCCGATTGGGTTCGCTTGTTCTGCAGGAAGAAGGCGAAGAAGTGCAAGCCGGAAGAACAAGAGGAGAATCGAAGGAAGAAGGAGGAGGTACGATTGAATGGGTTTCCTGAGTAATGCTGAGCCCTGATGAGAATACCCCCCTCCCCGGCCTTGCTTTATTCAGGGGTCCCTATATTTCCCCTTTTGGTGGATTTGAACATCAGCTTTGCCCATTTCAGGTGAGCTTCCCTTCATAAAGCTGGATGTTAGGGGAAATCACTCGGGAGCCCGGATTTATTTTTTTTCAGGGGGGGCCTTGGGAAGTGGAACCGGGTTGAGCAATGGGTTGGTTTCCCAAGGCTCCGAAAGAAAGATCTCCATGGTGCGTAACCATTTGAAACATGGATGGCTTTTTCACACCAAAATCAAGGTGGAGACCACCATTTACATACCATTTACAAGTTGCAATGTTCAGGTGTATAATGTAAGGTTTCCCGTTTCTCTTTGCGTTTAAGCAAAGCCTGCACTGCGGCCGGAGAGAAAAGAGAAGGCGAACCCCTGGCGCATCCAACAAAGATCCCATGGGGAAGTTTCACAAGAATGCCGCCACATCTTGGTGCTTGCCAAAGGTCAAGTTTTGTTTGTTTTTGTCTTTTTCCTGGGAGGTTCCCAGCGAATCGTCCGCTTCCTGAGGATTTGATTTGGTTTGTTCGGGTTTTGTGGTTGGATTTTCATTTCACCCATAGGTTCAACGTTTAGCAGGGATCTGAGGACAGCCCAGTTTTGGGTGGAGTATAAGGAGAAGCCACAGAAAAGTCCTTCATTCACTGTGTTTGGCTAAGCAACTCAGCTAGTTAGATTTGTCGGGTCCCTCGTTTCAGGAAACACCCCCCAGGTCACGGTTGCAATTTTCTACTGGTCCAGCCTCTTTTTTGACAACGCTGCTGAGATCAGAATGCTCTCGGGGTCTGCAAAGACGGCGAGAGGATTTCCCTGAAGAATGTCAGAGACTAGGAGACGGCCAGGTTGGTACGATACTGCCAGGATTGGTTTCAAGGGACACGAAACGAAGAGCCACTGCGGGCCACCCCCCCCATCCCATCTGTTTTTGACAAATCTTACCTCCTATTGTTTTTGTCACTTTGATTCACGCCCTTTGGGTCACCTTTTTTTCATTACGGAAGTTGTCCAACTAAGCTTCCTTGGATTAGTATGCATGAGCCTACTGCAGAAATCGCACCGGTCAGCCAGCATCCTGAATGAGATCTTTTTGCGCGCGCCGGATACTGAATCTTTGCACTGCCTGTCAGTACTTGCTCGCTCTCAGCAGGGAATGAGAGAATGAACCCTATAACCCTTTCCCTACGGTTTCCTTCAAGCGAATCCGCTTCCGCTCATTCCCGTCATTTCCTGCTGAGCACCAGCAAGAGTAAGACTCGCTTGAATCACAAGTCGTGTCCAAGATCTGCCGGGATGTTTGTCACGACCCAACAACTCTGGACCCAACAAGGGGCTTTCCCCAACAGCAACTGTCTTTTCCCCGACAGCTGAAAGCTAATGGGGTCGATAAAAGCTTCAACAAATCGGCTCGTTTTCCGGAGATTCGGTTGTGGGGGGTTCCGGAGCTGTTGGGGGCAACCTGGGCAAACTGTCCCATACCCAAAATCCGTATCCAAAAAACAGTGGCTGGGACCAGGCGCTGTAGGTTCTTTCTTTTGGCCCGCTTGCACTGGTTACAAAGCATGGCAACATGTCTTGGATCGGCGGCAATTGCGGTACCAATCAGCCCCAAAGGAAGGTTGTGGGGGCTATCTCATTTCTTTCGCCAAAGACGAGGCACGCTCGCTTTCAGGCGCCGCCCGTGAATTTGCTACGGCTCAAAGCGGGGATCCGGACACGATTCGTCGCATCGGATGTACACTCACTCAGCCCCAATAAGGCCAGAAAAAAGCCCGTGGCTGCTTGTAACCGAACAGACTGCTGAAAATTCAAAAACAATCACCACGGAGACGGAGACGGAGTCCTCGTGTCCGGCTGGTTTTGGCCCAGGCGACGGCGAAAAATCGCAGAACCGCCATGGGGATGAACGGCCTGGGCCAGCTGGATCAGGAGCGATCTTGGTTTTGGGCGCCTGCGTGCGCTTGTGGGAGGGTTACAGGGTGGGCTCCTGCCTGCCTGCCTTGCTGCCTGCCTGGCTGCCTTGCCTTGCCGTGCCTCGCCTCGCCTCGCCTCGCCTCGCCTCGCGTCGCCTCGCCTTGCCTTGCCTCGCCTCGCCTTGCCTCGCCTCGCCTCGCCTTGCCTTGCCTTGCCTCGCCTCGCCTCGCCTCGCCTCGCCTCGCCTCGCCTCGCCTTGCCTTGCCTTGCCTTGCCTTGCCTTGCCTTGCCTTGCCTTGCCTTGCCTTGCCTTGCCTTGCTTGCCCTGCCTGCCTGCCTGCCTGGAGCTATTGGCGAATATTCCAGGACTTTTACTTGTGTCTGGTAAAACATGCCGTTTGATTGGCAAACAGCACCGTTTGTATGGCCAAAAAAAGCCGTTGACAAAATTCAGTTGACCAGCTTGACCAGTAGTTTTCCCCCAAACACGACTGGAGGCAGAAATGCCTGCTCCCAGACTGCAAAAGTAGTTTGCTACGTTTGCTTTCAAAAAGCCAACATTCTACACCCCAGAAACCGTCAAAACAATGACCCTCCGAATTTGGAAATCGTTTGCAGTCGCCAGGAGCCGAACACCTCGAGGCCTGTGAGTGCGGCTGGGAGTGTGCGAACCCCCTTGTTGGTTGGACGACTAGAGGGCCAAGAGGCCCGAAATGCATCGATTTGCTGAAATGAACATGTTTGTCATTTCTCTGGTTTCAAAGGAAATCTATCACTGGAAGTACTTGTTTACTTTTTCCAGGAGACTTAAGCAAATGGAAGCTAGTATTGAAGCTAAAGTCATGGGAGAAGCACTTTGCTCAGAGTCACATCCGTGGCCATTTTCCGGATATACATGGACGGTTATGATGGGTTTCCAGCGAGGAGGCAATTTCCAAGATCTAGCAAGCCCGGAGGAACCGACAGTGGAAGAAAAGGACGCTGTTTCCGGGGGGGCAGTGAATTGGTATCCAAAACTGCAACCATCCCAAAAGGGTACACATGGGAAAAACCACCCACCAGGAAGGTGCTGATGATTCCTTGTGGTTCGAAGAGAAGCCGAGCTTGCACCCCAGACCATTCAAAACGGCCAATGGTCGGCCCAGCTCAGCTTGGCCCCTTGGGTTTGGTCCAAAAAGACTGCAGTGGTCAATTTAGGACGTCGGATCTCGCCAAGTTTCACACAAAGCCAGGGCTGACGATTTGCGGGCCCCTCGGAGGGTTGATCAAAACGATAGCTTGAAGGCAGCTGCGGGTACAAAGAGGATCTCCCCTGAAACAACTGGTGAATTCCACAAGACGATGGCCACCACATGTATCAAACCGAGATATATTGCAATTCTTTGGCGCCATGTGAAATGGATCTTAAAGGATGAGTGGCGCTTTTGAGCATGGAAAAAGACCAACGGCAAAGGCTAGCAGCTCCTAAGTGTCATCAGTCCGCCGCGCGCGCGTGCGCGCTCGTCAGGCGCTCTCTCTGTGAGTGCAGTTCTGATTGTGAATGTGAACAGAAATTCTAAAATGTTCTTCGCCTGCGGCGCGCCAGACAACCAACCAACCAGGCATAGCTGTGGGGCCAAGCATTTCACGGCGCCCCCTGAGCAACACCTCTGGCTCTGGCCCCTCTCACAGAGACCTTGTTATTGAGAGCAAAAACCTCATGCACTCTGCGCGCTGGTCTCACACGATTTTGCTTGGATGTTAGGACTACTTTTCGCCAACTGATGGGTTTTCCATTAAGCCACTAAAAGTTAAACCTTTAGCAGGGGAGCAGAAAGCAACCAAGTTAAGTGGGGGTCATTCGTAGAAATCGCTTACAGCCCAAGGTTTCGCTTACGCTCCATCCGCCAGTTGCTCACAGTCGCGAGCGCTACTTGCCATTAGCACTGCGTTCAAAGATTCGGCCTGGGCGGTGCAAGCGCTCCGATTTCGGGCCGACTTAAGTGCATGTACTGGCTCTCAAGCGAAGATGTTGAGGGGCTCTCAAAGGTACAAGCGGGGTGGGTGGTTGAGAGAGGCTTCCTTCGGATTCTGTAGGGTTCCTTTTAGGGAACCCCCCCTTGCCGAGTAAATATGACTTTGGGTGGGTGGGTGTTGTTTCCCTTCAAGCCACCACTTACAGGGAAGTTTTGAGGATGTTGCTTTTAAATGGGGGGGGAAGGGGGGGTTTCCCTTGAAACCAGGAAGCTTTGAGGATGTTGTTTTTAAATGGACCTGGAGGTGTCAATGACTCAGATTTGAATTTGGGGGTTTCGAGCTCCTTTGACGCGCACCTGGAAGGTCACTTGCGCCGCAATCAAAATCCCGAGTACTTGAAGAGTGGCTAAAGCGACAACCGATGAAGGAAGAAGTCCAATCGATTCTTTTGTTTTATGGAGTTCGGTGAAGCCAGGTATCACGTTCTGGTTGTTGCTCAAGTGAGCTTGTTCTAGTTTTTGCCACTGGGCATTTGGCAATTGCTCCGGGAGTCGTCATCTACTGTTCAGGGGATGAGTTTGGGTACACTCACCAAAACATGGTTGTTGTTGGGAAACATTTGAATCATTTTTGCTTATTGTGGTTTGGTGGTTGAAATCCAACCACTAAACTGCTAGAATTCAATTTCGTTGCTCCCCTTCCAACGTCAACCAAGATTCCCTTGAAGGCACCAGTTGCATAGTTTTTCTCATAAACTGCGAAAAAATATATTTTTTGTTGCTCCCCTTTGCAACATCAGCCAAGAAAAAGCTACCGCTGGAAGCTTGGAGGTGGCTCAAGATCCAAGTTCCGCGGGGCGCGGGTCACAATGAAACGGTCTGTGTCTCACGCTGTCAACACGTCAATGGGATCCCATTTTGGTTAGTGGGTGAATTCACCACCCATTTTACTCTAGTTTAGTGGAGATTGGTTGATGTTCACTGGGGGTACGATTTGGGTTTTGACTGATGGCCCACACGTCGTTTACACACCCTCCGTGAGCATCCGCCAGATTTGCTCGCCTGCTCCGCGAGCTCTTGGATGAGCATGAGGGTCAGCAGCCCGGAGCTTAGCAACTTGCGCAGGCAGAGCTTTGTCGTCACTGTTCTTGGCAAGTCTGTGTTTTTTTTTGGGGGGGGCTCTGATCATTTTCACTGCCCAGAGGCTCCCGATTCATTTAGGGACCTCAAACAGCCAGGTTTTGAGACCCCCAAACACCTCCGGGGTGTCCAATGGAGGGGTCGGGTTTTCAATTGAAAGCCCCAGGAGCCTCTGGGTGGGGGGGGGCCTGCAAAAATCGAAGTTGTGTGCTACCATGCCAAGAGTCGTAGCGCCGTGATGCAACACTTCACTCAACCGTGCATGCCCTGCGTCCACCATGATGTTGTTGTCTTTTTTAGCATGGGTTGTCGATTGTGAAAGCTTGAGTTACTGACCAGGGGTCACCTCAAGTCTCCCATCAAGCACATCAAGTCCGCTCACTTCTAGCATCAACATTGATGGACTTAGTTCGAAGAAATGACTGAAGGCCCCCTCAATTAGCTGGCTGCTAATTCGGGTGTGTTTTTGTTTGCAAGCCCTTGTTGGTTCATGTTTAAGAGGAAATTCAATCAACACCACAATCTCAGCGGGACTAGCCACCACATTTTTCCCCAGAAAGAGCCCCTCTTCAACGCCCCGCTGGCGCCAAAAAGGTTGCGACATCTCCAGTTATCTCCGGTGAGGTCGATGCTCCGCATGGAGATCCAGCGGCTCAAGGAGCAGACAGATACTCCGGAGAGGCCCGGTGATCGGTGAAGGAGTTGAAAGCCGAAGGCCCAAAAACTTTAGAGCCTCCGGCTCACTCCGCCGACATTGTCCTCTCCCGTTTCTCCTTCTTCCTCTCTCTCTTTTCTCCTCTCCGGTGTGTTCCCTTGTCCTCTCTCCCTCTCCCTCTCTCTCTCTCTAACTCCTCCCCATCCTCCCCGAGCAAGGTCGGCAGACAACGGGGAGGTTGAGGGTGGCTTAGTCAGGAAACCCACGTGCTGGTTCTCCCCCCCCCTTGTCCAGAATGTTCAAGCACGAAGAACGAAAGACAGTGGTGGCTATGGACTCTGGGTGCTGAAAGATTCGCCTTCCTTTTGGGTGGAGTTTATTTGGAAGGTGCCCTTGATGGCCATGTGGGGTACCAATGGACGGCAAGGTTTTTACGGTTGATGGGTTTTTGGATTGGCGGAAACTGGGGGTTTGAGCCCCTGGAGTACAGGGTGAGTGGACACCACCCTCCGAACCAATCCAAACCACCAGTTTGAGAGAAGCTGACTTTGCCCAAAGCAGAGAGGAACCAAAGGGACACCTTTAAAAGTGCAGAAGCCCATGTTGGAGCGAGTCACTCTAGTTTTCCAAGAGGGCCACATGGGGGGGTCCTTATTTAAAACTCGACCAGATCTTGGAGTTCCCGAATTCGGTTTGTCTTATGGACAACCCCAAAATGGCTTGCTTCTGTCTGGCTTCCCTTCAAAACCAACCAACAGTCGGGGATTTCCTCCATCAAAAGACAGACACTCAATTGGTTTCGATCCTGGCGGTTTGCGGTTCCAACTGCGTTTGCGGTTCCCAAGACCTACACTGTCGCATGAATTGTTGGGTGAGGTTTGCCGTCGTAACCTCCACCTTTAGACCTTTGAGCAGCTGACGATACTCACCGATATTCACAGTTTTGGAAGTTGCTAGGAAGGACATGGCATTACCCGGCCAATGTTACCTATTTGCACAACAGAAGTACTCTAGCAAACTATGGGGTGAGTTACTCACTTCCTGAGTTCATGAACTTTAAACTTTTGCTGAAAACCATTTTAGTGGTAAATATAAAGTTTGGACTTTTTTCGGGCCAACCACTCAGCCAGTGAGGTTAATATGTTGGAAACCATTCGCTTCATTCAGAGTTTCGTTTTTTTCCGCGCGCCGCTTCCTGTTTGATCATTCAACTGGAGGCTTGCAGACTCATTGTTCAAAAGCTCCTCAGCGCGTCACCACTGCTTTTTGGACAGTATGCGGGGAGGGACAGGGCAACAGCCGCAGGTGTCAGTCTTAGTTTCCACACACCAATTAGTGCCATTTTGGAGATTCCATTTTTTAACAGCCTTTTGGACCTAGGTTCCAAGCAGTTAGGACCCGGGTGCTGGAAAATGGTTGCATTTGTCAAAAGGGCCTCCCTAAAATGGTGGATGTCATTGAGGTTTCCCTTTAACGCCACCCCAAAGGGGGGCACCGGCACACCCAAAAGGATGCTGTTCAGGAAACTGGGTTTCAGGTCAATGGAGCTTCGTCCAGTTGGCATGTCGCCGAAATTGCATCCCAGTTGCCACTGCCACACTTCCTGCGTTTGGTCGCTCAAGAAGCGAGGTATCCTTTCGGGTTTTAACTTGGTGGCTCCCAGCCATCCCCGTAGCCTTTTAGTTTGTTCGTGTTTAGTGTCAGTTTCCATTGAACCCACTAAGAAGTTAAACCTTTCGCGGGGGATGTTTTAAGGCAGCCCAGTTAAGTCAGTTGCCCAAAGAGAGTCGATCTTCTTACCGTTTAGTATCCCCTTTTCGGTCCATAGTTATGGCCCTACAAGGTTGAGCTTTTCTCTCCAGGCTTTTCAGGTAAGTGGCTGTGGTTGTCAAACCAATGGCACCATTTTGGGATAGAAAGCACCACGCAGTGTAGTCTATTTTAGTGGGATTGGGATGTTCACTGGGGTACGGTGTACGGGATTTGGACCCATGGCCATGTGAGTTAAAGGTTTCCTCCGTACAAGAAGCATAACACATTTACTTGGCTTCTGACATTGACAACGGAGGCCCCGGCCAGCCGGATTGACCGAAGGGCTTTGTTGCGTGAGCTCTGCGTGCCCGAATGTGTAGTAGCAGTGTTCTCGGACACAAAAATATCCAAGCCCGAGCAGAAAGACAGGTGCCTGCGCCGCCTTGTAAATTCTTGACATGGCTGTGGCTCAAAAAAAGGGTGCCCAACATGGCACCTTGGTACATGGAAACTAAGACTAAAAGCTGCGTAACCCCAGCTGTTGAATTTTGAGCCACACCCAGATGATTCTGGGTAGACCCTCGAGGAATACCGATCGATTGTTTGCTCACGTCATGTGAGCCACAATCAAAACCCGGGTAGATGAAGGGTAAGGGACAATCCCAACCATAACTAGCTGCGGATATCCGCCTTCTTAATTCTTGAAGCATGGTTCTGGGATTACGACCATTCCAAGAGAAAGGTTTTGATTTTGACTCAAACATCAGGACCCCTAGTTTGGGGATTTGGGTGTGGCTCAAAATTAAACAGGGAGGGTTACGCAGGTTTTGGTCCATGTTTCCACTTGCCAGGGTTCCCGTTTGGAATTCCGGTTTTTTGAGCCACAGCCATTTAAACCCCTAGTTGGGTTCTGGGATGACCACGTTGCTACCGAATATTTCGCCTGCTGACGTCACGTGCTCGCAGGCTGGAGCTTGAGATCCCTTGCGAGAGAAGGACCGGGGACGAGGATTGTACCGCGCTGGCCATCGCTGAGGCGAGCTGACAGTCGCTCGCTCGCTCCGTGGCTTGGGTTCCCTTTACCCAGAGGCCAAATGGATTGATTTGGGGAGACCCCCACCTCCGGGGTGTCTTTCGGAGGGCGGCTCGGTGGTTTCCTCTTGGTTTCCCTTTAGACCAAAGCTGGCTTGTGCTTGGGGCGTTTCGAGCAAACGAGCAGGGGATGACAATTTCCCCTGTTCCAAGCTTCTGCCAGATAAGGAGGGTGAGTGAAGGTTTCCTTTTTGGGGGGTTCATGTCTTATTTCCGGTTGGTAATGTTGTTTCTCGGAAGAACCAGCTATAGAACAGTCTACATGAAATTGGCCAGCATAAACAAGTATTTCCTGTAGAAGTTCCTGTAGCTGGTTTCTTCGATCGCATCTTGCCCAGAGTTTGCCATGACCAAGAAGACTGGCCTAATTCGGTTCCGTAGAAGTCTGGTTTCCTGTTGGTTCAGGTGAGGGGCCAAACACAACATGGATTCCCTTGTTGTTCCGTCCCAGAAAAGACAAGCCCAATTCAGTCCCCTACAATGTTTGGTTTCCTTTTAGTTTGAAATGGATGTGCCTTCTTTAGGGGACCCCCCCAAAAAAAGAAAAACAACAAAATGCGGTGTCCCTTCAAAACAAAAAACACACAGGTACCAACTCTAAAAACGACACACCCAAAAAACACACAGAGGGTCAGCCGGGGACGGCTTTTTTTTTTTTTTAGAAACTCCTATTGTGATTTTTGGAGTTGGTACCCGTTGGGCTAGTGGGTTGGCAAGCCAAAAGCAAGCCACATGGGTCTGTGACTTTTTTGATTCAAAGACCCGAACCATCCTTTGTTTCAGAGCCGACGCGGCAACGACGGTGATGCTGCGCGTTTGCGCGCACGTGCGGAGGGAAGCAAAGTTCATAGCTTACTTCAAGGGCCAATACATGCGGAGCGCGAAAGCAAGTGAGACGCTGCATGGCACCAGCGAGCTCCGGCAGGCTCCTGAGCAGGTCACACCGAGGCAGCTATGGCAGGCCCTCGCAACAGCCTGCGGAGTCTCTCAATGCCAAGATCAAAAAGGACCGGAAGATCAAGGTGAAACGCAAACTGCACACACAGTGGGTTGCTGGCACATCTCAGTCGCGGCGCCCGGACATGGGTGTGAGCGAGCCACTTGCTGAGTCAAGCGCCTGGCTGCAAGGGACCAGTCAGCATGCTGGGGCTTTATCATGGTTGTTGTTGGGAAGCATTTTACATTTTGGCTTATTGTGGTTTAGTGGTTGAAATCCAACCACTTAACTGCAAAAAAACATGATTTGTTGCTCCCCTTTCAACGACAACCGGTTGCTTTGTGCGCGCTGTGTGTTAGGCATTTGCCTGCAGTTGGGGCGTGGTACCAGCACTGCTCTCATCTTTTTTGGGAGGATCCTCTGGCAGACCAGCGGTAACCCCCAAACCACCATATCGTTTCTAGAAGCTCATTTTGGGTTCCATGTTGATTTGCAGCGGAATAAATAGACAAGATTTCCCCAGAGCAAGCCAGTTTTCTCATTCGTTGAAGTTGGCAGACATTCGCTTAAGAGCGGAGCTGGAATTCAACAAACCATGGACAGTCAGTGACCTGATTAAATCCATTTCCAAGCTAAGCCATGGTTCACTTGAAACAGAGAGCCTTGAGCCCTCAGTCACAGTCCCAGAAGCGTGCGTTATCTTTAACTGAGGCCAGCGTGGAGGGGGATTCTTCCTTAAGTTTGCAGCGTGGCTCACGGTGTATTCGCCTCGAAGGTGTGTAACACCATTCCTTTCGTACCGCAACTTGAAGGGGCTGCTTCAAATACACAGTCGACTCAACCCACCACACTTCACGGTTTCACGTTGCCTCTCACCATGCCCTCCCAGAACTAGAGGCCTGTGAACCCTATCCGCAGGAACCTTTCAGTTCAGAACAACTCCAAGACAACAACTCCAAGACTGGGCCATAATTTTTGTCTGCCTTGCGTTCCCCCCCGATCCCCTCACTTCCTGAGTTCCTGGACTTGAGTCACGTTTGGAAAGACCGTTTTGGTGGTACGTCGGAAGTTCAGACTTGGTTTGGCCTATCCACTCGGGGAGTGAGAATCAGCGGCCTTTTTGAGCAACCCCAAGGGGGCGGGTTGGCACCAAAATGTATTTATCTTTGGTGCCTTTTTCCAAGGGATGTTAGGACTTTACAACTTGTTGCCAACTCATGGGCTTTCCATTCACCCACTAAAAGTTGGTCACTTTTAGCAGGGGAGCAGATTTCGCCACCGAGTTCTGTAAGGGACTGCCCCTTTCAAAGGGACACCTCGTTGGCTTACCAGCCACGCCTACCGTCAGGCGGGAGACGAGCGTGCCTCGGCCTGACGGATCTTTGCTGAACACGGCACGCGCCGTGTTTTTTCTACCCGCATTTGTGTGGAACGAGTTTCAGGCAAAAAGGCGCCCTTCCCCTAAGCAGGTAGGGACGAGCCCAAATTTTGTTTGGCTTCAAAATGAAGCGAAAAGGACAACCATATAGAAATGTTGTTTGGGTTTAAGATGAAGCGAAAATGAAGCTTTATTTGGAAAATCTATATTTGAGGGCTTCCCTCGGTTCGAAATGAAGCACCCTTAAGCAAGTCTTCGATCCCGAGGTTTGGCGTTGCTCCACATCCGCGCCCCTAAGTTGACCTAAACTGACACACACTCATGGCAAGTCAATCCGTGCTGAGAAGCCATCAATCCCCACCCTGCTTGAATTAAGCCACGTTCAGATCCCCCTAGCCCGCCCCAAGCGAAGCATACACCTCTCCAAGGTCTTTTGGTTCACTGAATCATGTCTGCTGAATCGTGCATTTTACAGGACTAGACTGACCCAGAGCTTGATGCCTAAGTGACAATGACGTTTGAGTGGGCCATCAGTTCAGCACATGTCGGTTTTAGATGGGAAACTGTTATGCGCGGAGCCAGGTTTTTGTGTGGCGGGTTTTACGGAAATCAAGGCCGCCTAAATACACAAGGCCCCAAGGAGTGGTTCTCTTCGGGGATTCATGTTCAACCAAAAAAGCTCGCAAAGTAAGGTAGGTAGACCACGCGGTGAGCACGAAGATGGGAGCCATTTTTTTTACAAGAGTGAATCATGTTGACCTCTGAAAATGCACGTATCATGCATCATTGACCACCAACAGGAGATCTTGTTTCTTGTGGCAGGCCCTTGAATCATCCCTCCCACTAACATGGTACCTGACAGGGGTCCCTGCAAGAGGAGAATGATCTTCCACACAAATGCTATGTTAGTGAGGAAGGGTACCATGTGCCCGTGCTGATTCTCTAAAGAGAGGTTGGAAGTGGGCCAGATTCAGATGCATTTGTTTCTCATAAATAGGGCCCCGCGTTTCGGTAAAACCACAAAGCGGGTCGTGAATCATTTTGAGAACCCCACCGTATCCAAAACCTTCCCCGTCAATTGGTGCCCAACATGAGCCCAGCGCACACTTAAAAAGCAACTGGCCCTTGGGTGGTGCTGGGATGATATGGGTCACACTCACCCAATTAGCATTAGGGAATGGGGGTGGGGGGTACTCACCAAAGTCCCATGTCACTTTAAAAAAACACAAAAAAAAACGGCCATGGCGTTTTCGCTTGTCCTGGGGCCCAAAATGGCTTCTGAGCCCCCGAAAATGGCAGGTATCCCCTGGTTTTCCTTGAGCTGCCTCCCAAGCAGGAGTCCCATGAGACACCATATGAAGTAAAGGGACAGTGGAACTCACATCGGGTGGACATTTCTTCAACCTGGCTTACTTCTTGGGTGGTTCAAGTCCGGAAAGCCGAGCTCACGTCTGAAAACCGGGCTGAAATGGGGTTGTCTCAAAATGAGGGGAGGTTGGTTCCTTTTGGTGTCCTGAAAAAGTCACAACCAAGCAAGAAGGGGTGCCCCCCAAAAGAAGACCCACCCCTTTTTTGTGGTTCAAAGGGACACCTTGGTTCCCTTTCCTCCAAAAAAGCCAGGGATCCTGCTTTCTAGAAAACCCGGGAAAAATAGCTGGTTTTTTGAAAAAAAACGGTGGTTGAAAAGAATGGTTGGAATCAACCCCTAGAATTGTAGTATGTGATTGCACCTTCAAAAAAGGACGCGCCCACACGGCTCGTGGCCAGATTTCGAGCTTAGGCGACGCCGCGGAGGTGACCTTCTCCTTGGCCCCGGCACCCGCACCTGGGATCTGCCTGGTTCTTTGCGTATGTTTTTTGCAGGTTCTTCGTTGTTTTGTTTGGGTTCTGTTCTTCATGTTTAGTTTTTTGTAAAGGTTTTCAGTTGTGTTGTTTGGGTTTCTGTCCATTTTTACTGTAGTGTGTTTTTTGGTTTTTTAGGTTCTTAGCTGTTCCGTTATTTTTTTCAGCCGTTGTTTGGTTCTCTGGTTAGTAAGCCGCAAAAAACAAGGTGTGGATTTTTTGTTTGCGGGTTTTAGTTGTGTTGGTTGGGTTCCGTCCAGTTTTACTTTTTTTTGTCAGGTGTCTAGTTGCTGCGTTTGGGTTTTTAAGCTTGTGTTTGGTTCTCTACATGTTTAGTGGGCCGCAAAAGGCAAGGTGTGGCATGGTTGTTTGGGGTTCTTAGTTCAGGGTGGCCACGGTTAGGTTCGGTTCGGTTCGGTTTCTGAAACCTTTTCAAAACCTTTCTCCGGTTAGTGGCGATTACTCATAACCTTACAAAACCTGCCGGTTTGCACGGTTAATGCAGAAAAGTAAGATAAGGCTCTAGGTAACTCAGTCTGCTTTCGCCCACACTTCGCCAACTTCCACATCTCTGGCATCGCCATCCATCTGATATCGCCATCCCACACCACACACACAGACACAACCACACACACAAACAAACAAACAAACAAACAAACAAACAAACAAACAAACAAACAAACAAACAAACAAACAAACAAACAAACAAACAAACAAACTCACAAACACAAAAACAAACAAACAAACCATGCCACTGACTGATGCTGAGCATGTTGTTCCGCGCACGTGGCCTTGGGAAGCATCTCTGCAGTCAAAGCTCAAAAGCGCAAACAAAAAGCAAGTCACTGACCGCTCATGGGTCACTTTTTTGCTTGCCAAATTTCAGCGGTGTTTCGTGTGTTGCGAGCACTGCGGAAGCAAAAATCAGAACCAGAAGCGGCCAATAATGCGGGTTTGTTGCCTTGACGCGTGCAGTAAAGGGGCCTTAGCTGCAGTGGCCTGCTAAGCGTGCCAAAAGTTCTGGCAATCAGGCTGGTGGGGCGTTGGGGAACGGCAGGGCAGGCCCAGGGCAAGGCGGCAAGGCGCCGGGAGAGCAAGCCCTTACAGTGACAGCGGGCAACTCAGTTTTCCTCCCGTTCGGCCCGCGAGAAACTGTTCCAATCCAAGCCGGGCCGCGCAAAAAACAACAACCCACTGACCGTCAGTAAGTTGTTTTTTTCGCGCTGCTGGCGCAGCCAGGCTGCAACAGGGTGCTCTATAATTATTCCGGCAGTTCAGGTAAAGTTTGCGGGTTCAAATCCCCTTGCTGCCGCTTTGGAACGAGATCCCGTGGCGTTGCTGTTGGCGATGTTGTCTGCGCCAAAGCCGAGCAGCCCAAAAAAACAAGTCACTGACCGCTCGTGGGCCGTTTTTTTGCTTGCCAAATTTCAGCGGTGTTTCGTGTGTTGCGAGCACTGCGGAAGTAAAAATCAGAACCAGAAGCGGCCAATAATGCGGGTTTGTTGCTTTGACGCTTGTTGCCCCTGCAAACCTGGGGACGGTTCGGTTTCTGTTCGGTTCGGTTCGGTTCGGTTTGTGGTTTGTTTCCGGTTTTCTTGCGGTTTTGAATACCGGTTCGGTTAACCGGTTTCCGGTTCGGTTTTCAACCTTGTTAGTTGTTTTGTTTGGGTTCTGTTGATTTGTGTATTGTTTGTTTAAGTTGTTTAGTTGTAGTGGTTGGTTTTTTAGCTGGTATTTGGTTCTCTACGTGTTCAGTGGGCCCCGCAAACAAAAACATGTTTTTTTGCCACGTGTTTCTTTTCTTTTTTGTTTTCTTTGTTTTCCGGTTCTTAGTTGTTTTGTTTGGGTTATGTTTATTTTTAGTGTTGTTTGTGTTTAAGGTGTTTAGTTGTAGAGCTGTTTTTTTTGTGCGGGTGGTTGGTTCTCTACATGTTTAGTGGGCCGCAAAAAGCAAGGCATGTTTCGTTTAGGGTTCTTAGTTGTTGTGCTTGGGCTTTGTGCGGTTTTTACCGGGCATTCAGAAAACATGCCATGTGTTTGTGTTGCTACCATACTGAGGGTTGGACCAAATCCCCCTTTTGCAGTTGGCTTTGGAAGCGAAAACTCACGCCCTGAGTTCCGCTTCGGCCTTTCTTCTTGGGACCATTTTTTGTTAAATACGAAGTTTTTTCCTGATTTGACCAGACTCACATGAAGTGCGAAATGGAAAACCGATGCCAACATAGGGGGTCCGATTCCAAAAAATAGACGCCCTCGCACACAAACTGAAACTGGTCTACTCGGCCGTGAGCCTGGATGAGACTTTGCTTTCATGGACGATGCTTTAGCAAACCACCACTTTGCTCCAGATCGTGCTTCTGATGTAATGATTCAATCTTGATTTCCGGTTTGGTTATAACAATTTGCATGAGTCCTAAATACTTTGTTTCAGGGAATCTCCGAAGCTTGGAGAGATGACAAGCGTAAAATCATAGTTGGTTGCCTGGTTGGTTGTTGGTTGGTTGCTTGGTTGTTGCTTGCCCGGTCGGTCGGTTGGTTGGTCGGTTGGTTGGTTGTTCCATGGGATGGTGACGTGCAGAAAACCAGTCAAATGTGTAGAGGCTGGTCAGAAAGAAGGCGTCTTGCAGGCGGGTGTGGTGGAGTCCGTGCTACCTACACGGGGTTCCTACAAAATGCATGTGGACCACCCACATCCAGCCACAAAGACCCTCTTGTCAATTGTGCCAACTTGCAGGGTTGCCTTGTTCGCCTTGCAATAGTGAGGACAATCACATGAACTCTCTAAAATGCATGACGCCACCATGAGGGAGTTATTCCGAAGTGGACCACACCATGTAGTTACAAGGCATCTCAACCGTGCCCAGCAACATGGATACATATCATTACTGTATGTGTATATGTATTATATATATATATGTGTACACGTGTCAGGATCTCAAAAGGCACGTCCCGAGCGAGCCTTTTTTGACTTGATGGTCCTGACAGAAGATTTAGCGGCCCATTGACCTGAATACCGAACATAAGACGTTCTCATCTAGTGATACGTCAGAAAGGATGACAGGCGCAGAACAAAAAACATGGCTGCGTCTAATTGGAGGGTCCATACCCCCTTTTTGGTGGCTTTTAAGGGACACCAAGAGGAAATCCCACCATTTTGTGGGTCCGAATCCTAAAGAACAGAGGCAGCCCATCTGATCGCCCTGGGCAGAAGGGTTCCAACAGCAGAGTTCTGTTTGTCCAGCCCGCATGTGGTTTTTAGGTTGCCCTCAGAGTGCCCGACTTAACGCGTTTTTCCCTTTGGGGGTTCAGTCGCTTCATCTCGCTCCGAGGTAACGCTGGAGGAAGGGCTGAAATCCATGATCGCACCGAAGGCGTGGGCGCGGTTCGAAGAAGTCTGCCGAAGGCCAGAAGGCCAGGTCCATACCCCAAGCCTTAAGTTTGATGCGGCACCAGAAGAATACCGAGGCCCATGTCGCAAGGCTTCCGAAGCACCCGAGGGCTTTCTCAGCTGAGGAGCGGGATCAAGGATCGGGATCGGGTCCACGGAAGATCCGGTTTCCCAGATGTTGGGTGCCCCAAAGTGGGGCTACAAGCGGGAGGCCTTCTGGTTCCACAAAATCCCAGAGGAGACCTCTGGGAGCATAGGTGTCCTTTTTGGTTGTTGTGCGGGGGCGATTCCTGGTTTACCTGGTGGTTTTTTCTCATCTACCAGGGAAACCCATCCATTTCCCCTGAAAGGACACCTATGTCTGCGAGTTTCTTAAAACTGGTGACCCCCTTTTGGTTGCTGCCGGCTTGTGGGCTTTCAATAGAAAACCCCGACCCCTTGGACGGTTTCCCCGGATCGAGGTGTTTGGGGGGCTCAAACCTGGCTGTTTGGGAGCTGGGTGGTATGTAAAGGGAAGCCAAGAGGAAGCCAACCGTTTGTTTTGGGGGGGACCCATTTGCAGACATGATCCTTTTTGTTTGGGGGGGGGGATTTTTTCGGGGGATCCTTGTTTCGTAGAAACACCCATTTGCAGGCATTATGAATCAGACGCGTACAGGGTTGCGCATGGCTTTTGGTGGCCGACTTCAAGCTGAAATGGGCAGCTTGAAGGTCCAGGTGAGCCCTAGGGAGAAATCGGAGGACCAACAGCGGTCTAGAGTCGCAAATGGGAGAAATCACGTGATTTTGAAGGGGGATATGTCGATTTTTGCTCAAACGGCTTCGACTTGCTTGCGTGCTGTATGTGAAATCCAGTCGGATTTCTTGTGTGAAATGGTGCTCTTCCTTCCACGGTCATGGAACCCACCCAGAAGTTTCATGGGTGCTGGGGGGGAGGGAGCAAAGGGGGGAGGGAGCCGAAATAAGCCCTTGTTAAGCCCTTAATCCCCTCCTCCCTCCCCCCCAGCTTTTATGAAAGTTTCAGTGAAGAGAAGCATGGCCGTTCCAACACCCCCAGATGGCTTCCATGTTGGTGGGAGGGCTAAGTGCCTCCATGTCTTGAGTTCAGGAGGATTTCCGGATCAGCTCCGACGTCCGCCAGAAAACGCTTTTTCAAAACGTCCGCCCCTTGACTTCCATTTGCTGAAAGAAATATTGTTGTTTTCCCCTGTTGGTTTTAAGGGGAACCCTGGAAATATAGGTATATAGGTATTATTCCCAGGGGGCTGAAGCGAATGGAAGTGAACATTCGGATACTTTCCAAAGAAACCAACAGGTGAGCGCCTCTTGAGGGTCGGAAGCCATCAACACAGTTCAACTAAGACAAGTCTTGAGTTGTATCTGCTCGTCGATTCGTGTGGCCGGTACTGGAAATGAAAGGGAAGACAAAAGACAGGTCACCAACGCCGAACCCATTTGAGCAGCGCCCAAAACCCTTGCAATTCTAGTGGTTCTACCTGGTTGAATTGGGGTTGTAGTACAGCCTATACTTCATCAACCTCTACCATATGAGTAGAACAATGATTTTTGGTCGCTGCTCATTTGAGCCACTAGGACTAAAAGGTGTTCCAAAAGTGGCTTCCCTAAGCAGAAATGAGTATCAAAAAGTCTACGCCGTTTAGGTATGAGTCAAAATGCTGTAACTATGGGCGGCGTTTTTGTTGGTTTCCCATTGATCAACCCATCAGAATAAGCTGAAAGGGGTACCCTGCCGGCTGATTCAACCTCTTGTTTAAAGATGCTCAAACAGTTGTTTAGGCAACCTCACCATGGCTTCCCTTGGACCGGAACGGGTCAGGTTGTACAAACGCATTGTGTTGCCAGCCCTGGTTGCCCCCTTTGCAGCCAAGCCGAAATGAGCACCAAGCTGGGAATATCCATTGTAGTACCCCCCTAAATCGGTGTAGCTATCCGAGCACCGAACATCAAGCAGGGGTTTCTCAAATGGAAATCCCCAACAAAGAAGGCAACAGTTTCCTTTTTGCCAGTGGATCCATTTAGCTGTATAGCAGGTAACCAAGACAACCACATTACAAACCAAGAGGAACATGGCTGGTTACCTACTATAGTGGTTTGTCTGGGATTTATTTTAAACAGATTGGTACGTGTTGACTGCAAGGGGGGGCGTTGGGCATTTGGACATGGTGTCGGTTCATAGGGAGCTTGTCTGAGATCTGCCGGGGAGTTTTCCCCCAACACCCGGCCACGGCTACGTGGGGCCAATGACTCTCACCCCACTACCGGAAGCTGTTTCTTTGCACCTTCCTGGATCCCCCCCCCCCCCCCCTCTCCCCCTCTCCCCCCCCCCCCACCCACGACCCCCACGGATTCACCGGAATTCGTTCACCGCGGCAGGTGGTTGCCTTTGAGTCCGGCGTCGAGTCTCCGGGGTCCTCCGCCGAGAAGAGGCGCGAAGGGGACGGCCCCGGGGGTTCCAAGAATGAGACGTTTCCGGGGCATTCGTGGGGTGTGTCCTTTCCTTTTTGGAGTCGGCATCCCATGTACCCAGGAGTAAAAGAAAGCTATGGGAAAGCCTTTTTTCTTTCGGGGTCCGCGAAAAGAAAGAGATATATTTGTCTGGGACTATGGTTGAGGAAGCTTCAGCGACGCTGAGCCTTTTGGGGGACCGCGGTCCATGAAGTCTCTGACCAAAATGGGCTTTTGCTGGTCGTTCCTCAAGTTTCTGGGTGAATCTTCTCACACGACCTCACACGAACGAATTCACCCCAAATGGTGGTTGATGTGGGGATTATCTCCCCCCAAGCACCTTGTTTCAAGTTGGTGAAATATACAACCTCACCCAGGCACTAGGATCACTGGACATAGCTGGAGGTCCCCTTGAAACCATATTGATAACCTGGTCGTTTGCCTAATCATAACCTGGTCACAATCATGACCTGGTCGTTTGGCTGGACAAGGCCTCTAAGGCTTTTGTCGTTCTCTTCGGCTTTCCCGCAAAGAGCGGGAGGTGAGGAGACCCTTTCAGTCTTATGTCTTCACCTAGGTCCCCCAGCTAGGTGCCAACTTTTACCGGTTCTTTTTTGGGAGAGGGTTCCCGTACTAAAATAGACGTCCTGAAAAAAGTTGGTACCAACTTATTCTAACCGCGTTCAAGTAAAACCCCCCAAAAAAGCACGATGCGCCATGTTGGATGTTGGTGGGGGTCCGATTCCTACAAAAGACACCCATATTGTCACCCAGGTGAGGTCTCAGGCGTTGCCAGGCAATCTAATTGTTTGCATGTACCGAGTTTGCACTCCCGAATTTGGTCTAGTGTTTTTTGTGTTGTTGTTTGCAAGGGTGGAGTATTTGTGTGTGTGGGTTGTATTGTTTTTGTGTTTGACTTTCTGTGAATTAGAAAGAAGCCCTTCTAGATCCCCGAGTAGAGCCCCTTTACCCTTTTTTGTGGGAGGGTTCCCGTACTAAAAAAGACTACATAAAAAAAAAATCGGGCACCCTTATTCTAACCTCTCTACTGGAGCACTGGGCATGTTCATGGCCTGAAGCATTTGTTTTTAATGAGGCAGAATTGGCTCGGCCGAAGCACCGCTTTCTTTGGTGTCGGGATGAAAATCCGGATTGGCCTGAAGCCTGACTCATCTTAATTCACCGCATTCCATCATGAGAATGCGGTAGTAAACCAGTACTTTGGTGCATTTTGCCAAGGGATGTTAGGACTTCAACTTTTTGCCAACTAACGGGTTTTCCATCAAACCACTAAAAAGATAAATATTTTGCAGGGGAGCAGAAAGCAAGCGAGTATATCAGTATGTATTGGGTGTGTTTTGGGATTACCTGTGATTTTAAGGGCACCCCGGTTCAAAGGCACACCAATTACCGTTGGGGGGGGGTCCCCTACAAATGCAACACCCGCATGACGGTTGCAAACAACCGTTTCTCAAACTGCCATTTTGCATGAGTTGGGTCTACTCATAGGAAATGGTTGTTTGGCTAACTACCATGTGTAAATGCCTGGATCTCCAGTTGCTTTTTTTTTGTGTTTTTTTTCCCCGATGGACTTTGCCCCTAAAACCAGCAACAGTGACTGAAAAAGGCAGCAACTTGGCTATCTAGGTGGTTGTCTCAAATACGAGGCGTAAAACTACCCCAACACAGTACCGGATTGATTTTGGGGCCTCAGAATGAGATGTTTTTGAGGGCCCCATGAGGAATTGGTCGCTTTGGGTTCTCCATTGCAGGGTCCTGGAGTCTGCATTGGAAGGGTCATGACCCCTCAAAATTCCTTGATGGCCCGAAAATCATCAGGAGCCTTAGGGAGTCATAAAATTACCCCAACATGGCTACCTTCCTCAAAACATGCCATACTTGGCAACGCCAGGGCGGTCGAAGCGGCGCTGCAGTCAATGTCCGAGGCCGCCTCCGAAAAACAAAATCTCGACATCGGGGCCTTGCAGCGTGTCCTGTTTCTGCATGTTGAGCTTCCATTTTTGTTTATGTTCCCTTGGGTATACTCTCATTTAGGCCGATTTTGAATATCCCTCATTTGGGTACCCTCATAGCTTGGATTTGCTTAAGAATACGTTTTATTTTTGCCTTGTTGGGATTACAAGGAATTTATCAGGCTGAAGCAAATGGAGGTAGGGTGAGTCTCTGTTTCCTTTGGGTGTCCCAAGCTTCCAACCCAAAAAGGGTACCGAGCCTCGATTGAGAGAATCAGAATTCGGGACCTCGCCCCAAGTTTCTGGGGCGGATCCCGTGTTTCCAGTGACAGGGGAAGCAAAGGCCACATGGCTGTGGGTCAAAACCAATGGGATACCATTTTGGTTGGTAGGTGAGTTCACCACCCATTTTAGCCACCCTATTTTAGTGGTTGGATTGAATCGGATGTAACCACTGGGGCTAACAACGATTTGGGTTTTGAAAAGCCCATGGCATCTCAACTTGTGGGTCCCCGACGTCAGGCATCGAACACGCACGTTGCCAGAGGTAGGAAACCGCCCAGATCGACATGGGATATCACTTCTAAAGAGTGGGACTTTAGTCAGGTGTTTTTTTTTTGTTTCCCGACCATTATGGATAACAACTGAAGCTTGGGCCACGTTTTTTTCGTTGCTGGTCTGGACGGGAAGTCAGTCTATATGTTTTGTGGACTGGCTACTTGCGGGAAAAAAGCCGCTCGTGATTACCACAAAGGCCTTCTTTTGGAAGTTGCAGGGTTGGCTCTGAAACATGTCTTTTCCGCTGGAAAAGTGGTGGCGTGGCTTGCGGGTCTTGAGACTTTACCCGGTCGGTTTTAGGTGCTGGGAAGCCCTAACGTTTTGCCCCGGATTTCCAGCCGATTCATGTTCCAGCCAGATGGGAGCATGCGTGACCTGCGCTTTGGCTATGGGAATGCAATGCAACCAATTGGAGCAAGGGAAGCGCAATCTACCCCGGGGAACCAGCTAGTTGGGGAACAGCCCTGAATTCTTCCCCAGAATTGGCTCCCCTTTTTGCTTTGTTGCTTTTTTTGGGTTCCCTTTGTTTTCCACTGGCCAGGCAAAAAAAATCGATATTTTTTGCTGGGGTCCTAATTCCAGCCTAGAATTGAGGTTCCAGATTGATTGTTCAGGGGAATAGAGTCCAGTATCGCGTTAGGCATCCGACATTCTCTCTCAGCGCAATCGCGGCATTGACGGCAAGGCACGGACACGCATACGAAGTAGTTTGGGGCGACAAACGAATCCAGAACCATGTGAGTGGGGAATATTGACTGATCACATGTGTTGTTCATGTTTGTTTTTTGTGTTTGTTCTGTATGCCTTTGTTACCAGATGAAAATAAATGAATTGGAAGATGGGCAGAGGTTTGAAATAAGCCACAGAGCGTTCAAGGATGGCAAACGGTCATGCAACACTGTAGCTGTTGTAAAATGTCATGACGTGAAACCAGTCGCATTGATTGAAGAGACACGCATTGGCCTCCAATCCGTTCGACCCTCACGCGACCGCATGCCTCTGCATTGTAAGTTTTTTGCGTAGCACTAACCGTTCCAGTATGTGGCAACGGACTTTCAGATAGATCCAGATGCTTAGGCAAGGTGTCAATGCAACGCATTGGGCACGATGTGGCTGGGCTTTGCTGTGTTGGAACTCAGCTGCAGTTTGAAGCCGTGCTGGCTAAGACGGATGTCGGCTGCCGAGAGATAGTTTGAGAGCCTTCAAATTTGGGAGCCCCGAATTCCCATGCGTTCTCATTTTCCTGTGTCCCAATGATTGAGCCGGGGCAGCACCTTTGTATGCCAGTTTTGGTGAGTAATGGCCCTTGCCAGAGAATCCATGCAGCACGTCTAGGTTTTCAAGTAGTGCCCTTGTACCAACTTTTGTTGGGGAAGGGTACCCCTACTAAAATAAACGACAGAAAAAGGGTACCCTTATTCTAGCCTCTCTACTAGAGGACCTAGACGTGGTGTGACCGTCTATGAACAAATGACAGTACCTACTTGTAGAATTCCCAGCAGCCTCACGCGAGACCAGACAAAGTATGAACCACAAACTATGGGCTTGGATCTGGAATTTGGAATGATTGTGATAAACGTGTCCGCCCGAAAAATAGGTTCCCCGGGAGAAACACACAAGCACAAACATGCATGTTTAGGGGGGCCTTAATTGCTTCTTTTCCCGGCAGGGAGTAGTTTGAGCTGTAGCACAAAGTAGTTTTTTTTCCTTGGTCAACCATGCTCACCGAATACAATTTTTAGGTAGTAGGGATTTTAATGGTTCAGACTTTTTTTTTGTTCGGTTTCCACGGTGTCGAGTAATTGTGTAATTGGCAGCAGGCTGGTAGGTGCATGTGTGTGTGTGGCTTCTGCAAGGAGAAAGGTTCGGAGGGACCCCTAATGCGGCTCGAGTTGGGGTCAAAAGGGACAATCGCTAGTTTGATTGGTTTAGAACTAGCCTATTCTGAATCTAGTTTTCCCAGGCCAGGATTTTTGTTTGAGTCTGAAAAACGTGTAAATATTATTAGGATCTATAGGGACCTTGATTACTAGGAAGAAGATATTACGTCATCAGCCGCATAACTGGTTTTGTGCGTTGTGCTCATGTTAGGCATCGGCCCATGTGCGTGTCTTTTGTGGGTCGGGTGGTTGGTTGGTTGGTTGGTTAGTTGGTAGTTGGTTGGTTGGTTGGGTGGGTGGGTGGGTGTGGGTGGGTGTGGGTGAGTGTGGTGGGTGTGGGTGGATGTGGGCGTGTGTGTGTGTGAGTGTGAGTGTGAGTGTGTTTCAGGCTACCTGGTAAAGGGAAACCACCGAAATCCATGTTTGGGGTCTGAATCCAACTTTTTGTTTTGACACAGTCACAGTGGGGACCCTCAAATCGCTAAACATGGGGAGAGTGTAACCCAAGCTTGCGGCGGCACAGCTGTACTGTACCTGAAGTGCAAGAACTCCCACGGTCTGGTTACGTTTTGGGTACCAGTCTTCCACCTGCAAGACGATCCTTGCCTGAAACTTTGTGCTTCCATAGATCCCAGGGTAGGGGGCCTTCAAAGAGGTAAGCTCCCCAAAAAAGGAACCTTATTAGCCACCAATAGGCCTTACAACTTATTCTATTAGTCGCTACTAGCCCCTATTGGCCTATTGGGATTCCCCAAAGAGCCCTCAAAAAAAGAAGGAGCCCTACTAGCCACCAATAGGCCTTCTTATATCAGTGGCTACTAGCCCATCTCTAGAACTTCAAGAACCTGTAAAAATGTCGTACCCTGACTAAAACATTTGTGTCTTTGGTAGGTATGCCATTTTCCGGTTTTTGAGGCTCCTGGTATTGGGATGGGCCCGACCAGAGGAATCGAAGGAATCGAGCGAGCCGCAGGCGCACTTTGAGCAGCGAGAGGTCTGGCAAACTCAGGACCTCTACCTCATGGAGGACGAAGGCGGAGACTGTTTCTCGCGGAAATTCTCGCCGAATTCGCCAATGTGTGTGGTGAAGGGCAACCAAAAGGATTATGGTTTATGATATTCTTTATGATCTAGTGTTTAGTGAGAGTTTTTATTTAACCCACTAGAAGTTAAACTTTTAGCGGGGGATTTGAGGGCAGCCCAGTTATGTTTTTGCGGATTCCCCTCAAAAAAGGACCTCCAGAAGGTAAACTCGGCGAGCTCACCCATGAGGGAGTCCCCAAACAAATCCAGATGAGAAAGTATACTAGGTCCCCCAGCTAGGCGCCCTTTCTCACCGTTTCGTTTTTTGGTTGGGAGGGTTCCCCTACTAAAATAGACTACAGAAAAAAATGGTAGCCTTATTCTAACCTCTTTACTGGAGGACCTAGACACGATCCAGCACCATCGTCCCAACTTGCCGGCAATAGGTGTCCTTTGTTGTTGATGTGGTTGAAAAAAATGGTGGGCGATTCCTGATTTACCAGGTGGTTCAATCAACTACCAGGGCCATCTATGTTCCCAAAAAGGACACCCATGTTGCCGGCTTGCTCAATGTTCGAAGTCTCAACTGTCCAAAATGCAGTGGTTGGGGGGTGATGGCGGTGGGTTTGAAAGTTGTGTCTTGCCAAAAAGCATGTCTTGCTTTGGGAGGGTGCCTTTTTAGGAGAAGTGGTGTTCTTGCTGGTGGTTTCCCAGATGTCGCCCAACAGTTCAGAGCTTGGGGTCGATAGGCTCAAATGAGCTTTGGGGTGGTTTGGAGCAGCTTTCAAGGAGTGTTCCGGAGGGTTGTAGAGGTTCGGGGGTTGTTGAGAATACCACCTGGCCTTACTTCTTGGGAGGGGGTGGGCCCCAAAATCTTCCGAAAAGCACGGTTTTAGTTTGCAACAACTCTTCTTTTCTCGTGAAGTTTCGGCTTCCAGCTGCTTTTCAACCTGTTCCTTTTTCGGAAATCGGGGAATTGGCGAAGAGCTTCCTTTTTGTTCTTGTTTTTTTTCTCCCCCCCTTTTTGTTTTCACGGGTTGGCTTTTAGGCGTGGATCTTGGGTTCCGACTTTCCGTGAACCTCACGCGGTTCGGGAGAAATCGAGTCCGAGAAACGGTTCGAAGCGCATTCCTGGGGTTCAAACCACCAACCAACCACAACCACAACCACAACCACAACAACAACAACAACAACAACAACAACAACAACAACAACAACAACAACAACAACAACAACAACAACAGCAGCAACAGCAGCAACAGGAACAGCAACAGGAACAGCAACAGGAACAGCAACAGGAACAGCAACAGGAACAGCAACAGCAACAGCAACAGCAACAGCAACAACAACAACAACAACAACAACAACAACAACAACAACAACAACAACAACAACAACAACAACAACAACAACAACAACAACAACAACAACAACAACAACAACAACAACAACAACAACAACAACAGCAACAGCAACAGCAACAGCAACAGCAACAGCAACAGCAACAGCAACAGCAACAGCAACAGCAACAGCAACAGCAACAGCAACAGCAACAGCAACAGCAACAACAACAACAACAACAACAACAACAACAACAACAACAACAACAACAACAACAACAACAACAACAACACAGCAACAGCAACAGCAACAGCAACAGCAACAGCAACAGCAACAGCAACAGCAACAGCAACAGCAACAGCAACAGCAACAGCAACAGCAACAGCAACAGCAACAGCAACAGCAACAGCAACAGCAACAGCAACAGCAACAGCAACAGCAACAGCAACAGCAACAGCAACAGCAACAGCAACAGCAACAGCAACAGCAACAGCAACAGCAACAACCACAACCACAACCACAACCACAACCAAACCACCACTAAAACAACGGGGGTTATGGGGTTCAATCCACCACCACAATGGGGGTTCATATGGCCGTGGGTCAAAAATAGGTACCAAAATGGCACCCTGGCAAATGGAAACAATGACTAAAACCTGCGGTCCCCTGGTGGTTTAATATTGTCCCATACCCATATAACCACCATTGTTTACATAAGGATTGTCATCATCCAAATTGGGTCCTTGCCTTTCTTTTAATGGGGGTTGAACCCTAGGGCCATCCCACATCTCATATTAAATTTCAGTGGAAGGTAGGCACCGAGCCTGACGCTAGCCGTAAAGGAAAAACGCCAAGCATAAGATACAAGCTTGGGTTGCAAGAACCCCCCCCCCATTTTTGAAGGAATCTTCCCCCCTAACAATTGTAATTTGAGAGGGGGAGTACCCCAGTGAAATTTCATTTTGTGTTGCACTTTTTTGGGGGGTGTGAAAGACGGAGGGGCCCAAAATAAAAGTATTCGAAGGGGGGGGGCCCGACCAAAACGGTTCTCCCGCTTGCGCCTGGGAGGACATTACTGGCCGGGGCCCCTCCAAAAGCTGGTGCCTCTAAAGGGAAATGGCTCGAAAACCACCAGAAAAATCACAACGCTTCCAAGAAACTGCTGCTTGCGGGCTTTGAACGGCCACCAAAACGAACGCTCGTCCCAGTTGGGGTCCACAATTGAAATATTTCAAGGGCTACCCCCCCCAAAAAGAAATAGATTGCAATTTTTGAGGTCCCCCACTCCCCCCCTCCTTAGGGACGGGGATTTTTGAGGGTAGTTTGAGGGTGGCAGATATGAATTCCTCATTTGTGAATTTTCGGTTTGCTGCCACGCGCATCTGCCAGATTGGTCTCCTGAGCGCTACATCTTGGCCACCAAGACCCTGAAGAAGACCGGGTCTTGGGGAATTGGGACGGGCATCATATTGAGCAAATGAGTACCCCATGCTTGTGGTGAAGGGCAACCAAAAGGACATCATTTTGGGTGTTCCCCTCAAAAATCTCAGCGAGCTCACTCATGAGGGAGTTCCTAAACAAATCCAGTTTGGGAAGTATAGAAAGCTAGCCAGATATCTGCCTACTCTGTGGCAAACAAGCTGAAGGCTTTTTGGGGGTCGTGTTGTTTGCAAGGGATGGTGCAAGGTCGAATTTTCAGGGTGGGGATTTGTTTGGTTTTCTTATAAAACACTCCCCCACAAGAAGTGCTTGAACTTCCTCGCCCGAGACCAATGTTTCAACCAAACTATTTGCTGTGATCATGAATGTATCAGGCAGATATGGTTCACGCGTCGATCGATTTCTTGATTCAAGTATGGGCCCGTCAGTCTCTCGGCAAGTCGGGTCATTGGGAAGCATGGCTATGATGTTTTAAAAGTCGGAACCGCCAACTCAAGTGGTTGATGGACATGAATCGGGACCCACCTGAATGATGTCCAAAGGGTCCGGGACATATTAATATTCACACTCATATGTTCTAATTTATTTGTGTTAGTCCAATTGCCAATGCAGACCATAGCAGACCTTGGAGCCCTGATTTCCTCTTGTCTAGCTTGAGTCAGAGTTCCAGAAGTGAATATGACTAAACCTCGTCGTTTTTGTTCGCCTTTTGGAGATGGTCCCAGATCAGACGATCGTTTCTCAGTCGCCCAAAGCGAATCGAGCTTGACATGTGGCTTCCCCATGTTGGGACGTATGTCAAGGTCCTAAAAGGCTAACCTCCTTTTGCTCAAGAATATGATAATTTTATTCTGTTCGTTTTACAGGGAGTCTATCGCTGCTGGACATATTTCATGTTTTCCAGGGGGCGAAAAGCTAACCTGTTATTTCCGGCTCCTTTGGACAAAGTTCTAGGGGTAACTTCGCCATTCTTTTCAGGGATCCTTCTTTCTAGAAAGCCACCAACACCCCTGGGGAAATGGATGGTGTTTGAAAAGCACGATGGCTGAAAAGAATGGGGAATAAACCCCTAGAAAAGTGAGATGTCCTGTTCCTGATCCAGGAACAAGCAGCAGAACTTGCTGGCACGAAGCCATTCGGCGGCAGCAGACGTGCACCAGGGGCCCTTTCTCTTTGATCAGTTCGGAGCTTCTCAAAATGCTGGAGCCCCTTGTTGTTCGCACTTAGACGGAAACCAGATGGACACCCATCATTTCAACTGTTTGAAAAACACACAGTCGTGGTCACTATTGCCTTTCCACTGTACGACTGGAAGGCGGTGCCACTGGCAAGTGCAACGGCTTCAAGCGGATTTGTTGAGCACGAGCATTTTGCAGAAGGATATGCCAAGCACAGTCAACGGAAGCTTCCAGCTCAGGTGTCCAATGACAGCTGCGTTTGGTTGAAAGTCAAGCAACAATAAGTCATTGGGAAAATCACACGGCAAGTAGGAAAAAAAACGGCGTAGTTTGAACAGTGACATGCCACTTGCACTTGGTGTGCTGCTTCAACGGGTCATGGGGGACGGGGGTACCACGCAAGTTCACCACAGCGACATCAAGGCAACCTTCCTTTGGCGTGCCGTCCTTTGGAGAAGCGGGCCATTCCAGAGGTCAATTTTTGTGTCATGCGAGACAGGCGCAAAAACCATGTGGCCGTGGGTCCACACCTCTGGTGCCAATTTGGGCTAGGTGAATTCACCGCCCGTTTTAGCCACCCTATTTTAGTGGTTGGATTTGGGATGTTCACTGGGGGGGTACGATTTGGGTTTTGACCCATAGCCATGGTGTTATGAGAATACTTCGCAGGACTCCGGGGGTTGCCTTGCCGGTGCCGTTTTTTTTTTTTGTTTCTCCGCACAGCCAACTCCAAAACGGCATTTTTGTTGGCTCCCAAGTCCGCAACAGGAAGGGTTCCAAGGACTCGCTGAAGGTGCCAGCTATGTTACGTGGATCAATCCCTGCATGGCACCGGTTTTGTGGCCTGCGCTTTCGATGGAAATGAGCCGGCGCTTGGCCAAGGAAGATGCATGGGAATTAGACAGTCCATTGGGTGAGCCTTGAGACGGAAAAGCTGTGAACTGATATTTGTGGAGCCATTTGTATCTGTGTATTGTGAGCATTGGCTAGTCATGACTTTTAGGAGCTACAGGGAAGCAGAGTGCTCCCATTCCACAAAGCGACCAAGCACCAACAGTCTAGATGACTGCACAATTACCATCCAAGCAAACCCAACAACCACAAGGCAACTGCCAAGAAACGACACAACAACGGCACACGCACACACCCTGAGAGGCAGCCACAAGGCCGTAGGGCAGCCACAAAGCGACCCACAAAGGAACCTAAGCAACCACTAAGAAACAACTAAGGAACCACGCATGCAGCAACCAGAAAGCCAGCACCAGGCAAGCAGAAAGCAACCACGACCACCTAGGCACAATCACGTGCTATCCAAGAAGCAGCCACAGAAGATTCAACCAGCATAAACGCCGGATTCTCTATTGGCCATTTCCGTTGAGCGTCACCTGCCGGCCATGCAGCAGCTTGAGCTCACTTATACTGCACGCATTTCCCAGTTGGAGGTCTGAATCTTTTGGCTTGGTCAGGGTTTCCTCCAGGTCCCTTCTTTGGTGCATTTTGCTTGGATATCAGGACTTTAACTTTTTGCCATCTAATGTGTTCTCCAGTAAGCCACAAAAAGTTAAGCTTTTAACAGGGGAGCAGAAAGCAACCAAGCCTTTTCGGAACCTTCAAAATGTGGCAGTTTTCACGCACACCACCCGTAAATTGCAACCTTAAAGCCAGTGACCCTGCGCGTTTTCTGGACACCTAGAAGGCGTGCGCATCAGTTTGCTCCATTGGGAGAAGTTTAGGAAGCTTTGGATATGCGGGATGCTTACAAGGGACCCGCACCTGTTTGGAGGGTCACCAAATAGAACCCTACTTCGTCAGTAGCTGTGTGTTTGGGCACCATTCTAAGGTAGGAAAACCAGCAGGAAAACCACACACCATTTTCGGGGTCCCCTATTTTGACACAATCGGCTAAATAATTACTACAACAAAATGTAGTCCTATGGTATTGACTAAACACACGGGGTAAAGTTATTTAGGCCCTTGTAGAACCAGCCAGTTGTTTTCACGCAATGCGAATGCGGTCCGTGTCCGAGGTACCAAGACCATTGAGATGCTTCCAAACATGAACCTCCGCCAGGGCCTTCAGTCAATGCCGCCGATCTTTGCCGCCTAACGGGGAGACTACAAAGGACGGGTCCCAAATTTCACAAACACGCGCCTCAATGAGCTTAACATTTTTGCAGCAGTCGTGCAGCCTTGGCACACAGTGGTCGAGAATGCGGAATGCTTTTGATGGTGGTTTGCGGGTTTGGCGGGTGTTTGGGATGTCGGTTTTTACAGAGGCAACAACAGATCCAGTTGCATCTCGTGATTTGAGAGGCGCTTCAGCTGGGTGTCCATCACAAGGGCAACTCTTAAGATATTTCCTTGAGTTGCGGACAGACTTGGTCCGCTTTGTCCGGAAGGCTTGGGCTGGGAGCTGGGCTGTTCAAAGCTCGGATTGATCAAGCCCTAGGCGTTAAAACGGGGAGAGCTGTGCCGGAAGAAGGAAGGGGACCCCAGGGCTTGACCACTACCCACCTTGTACCTACCCTTTTGGGGATGTATTTACAAAACGGGACACCTTGTCCATTTACAACACGGGACACCCGTGCGGGAAACGCCCACCAGACACCCCTGAAGTCTTAGAGCAAAACATCAAAGCGAAACCACCTTCCGCCTTTCGTTGCTGATCGTTGGGGTGCCGCTTCGCAGGCAAACGCATCACTGACCTAAGTTAGGTTCCAGGAACTCTTGTCGTAGATGGGTTGCGGGATCACTCGGGACTTATCCAACCACTTCTGCGATACAACTAGGTCCCCCAGCTAGGCGCCATTTCTTTGCCGTTTTTTTGGGGGGGGGGGGGGGAGATTCGGTTCCCCAACTAAAATCGACGTCCTGAAAGAAGTTGAGACCAACTATTCTAACCTTTCTACTGGAGGACCTAGGTGGCAAAGGGCAAGAATTAAGCCACCAGGAATTGGACCGCAGGTTTGAGCCCTTGGTTTTAGTTACCATGGCGAGCCATGTTGGTTCCTATTTTTGGTTCCTATTTATGGCAAGGGAACCTCCCGCCTTCTTTCTTTTAGTCTTCGGGAAGCCATTAGTCTTCGTACCACAGAAGTGGATTCCATTTCAACCACAGCCCTACCTGGAGTCTCCCTAAGGACCCTTTAAATAAAAAGAGGTCCATGACCCCATGATTTAGTGTAATGACCAACCATTGTTAAAGAGTCAGAAGGAGACTCGAGGTAGAGAAGTCTCTGTGTTGTTTGTTGCGTCGCAAGAAGTGATGGCCTCCCCCTTTCGGGCAGGGCCACAGGCGCCTCCACAAGGCAAGAGTGCCCAAAAGCTCTGAGTCGTTGCATGGGTTGATTCCTTAGTGACGGGATATCCGCCAAAGATGGGTGCGGACATCCTTGTGACACGAGAAATGCGCATTATTTTGGTGCACCACTTGAGCACCACGTTTTGATTGTGACACATTTGGGTTTCAACACCCTTTCACGTAAAGACAAGTAAACCCATGTACGTTCACTTTGGTACCCATGGGCCATGCCCATGGGTTTCATTGATGGATCCTTGGAACTTGGCACAGCTATCTTGGCTGTTCAGCTATCTTGGCTGTTCCCAGCCATCCGGTTCCTCATTTTTTAGCGCTTTTGGGTTTAGTGGTTGGGTTTCCATTCAACCCACTCGTCAAGCTTTCAGCAGAGAATGAAAACGGAGAGGCGATGGACACTTCCATTTGCTTCAGATGTGTTTCCCCTTGTTGGTTCTAAAAGGCATTTATCACAACTGGACACATGTTTCTATTTCTCCAGGGGTCTTAAATGGAAGGACAGCATTTGGCTTGAGCGTGGGCCACCGAACTCAGGTGCCATCATCCGGGATCGACGTTTGGGCCTGAGAGACGTAAGAGACGTTTCGGACCGGCCGCAGCTCTGGTCAAGGGCTCCAAGAAACCCGGATTCCCAGGGCGAGGTGGTGTGCTTTTTTCCCGCTATTCTGGGTGTGGGTCAAAAAAAAGGGTACCTGGAGCCTCCATGACCCTTCAAAAATAGGTCCATGACCCCATTATGGGTAATGACCCAGTTTTTAAAGGGTCATGGAGACTCTAGGTACCCAAAATGGAACCATGGCAAATGGACACAGGTACTAAAATGTGCGTTCCCAGGTGGTTTAAGTGAGACCCATATGGGTATGGGGTTGATCAATATCCCGTTCCCCCCCCCCCCCCCGGGCACAACGACCAAGGGCGAACTATTCCCTCATGTGGTGAAAGTCAAATCTGTTTTGGTGGTTTCCCTAATGGTCATCCCATGTAAAGGACCTTTTGATCAACCCCCATATTAGGTTTCGAAGCAATAAACGAGCGGTTACAGATGAGATGCGCATGCGAGCCCTTTTTGCCAGTTACTCCAGCAGTCCAGAAGGCAAAGGATATGCCAAAATTCGGGAACCTCAAGAAAGGTTGGTTAGTCTTTTTGTGTGTTTTTCCTTTGGATCAATCTTGCAAAAAGGGCAATTGGAAGTAGACCAGGTGGCACAAGGACAGTAACAGAAGCAGATGGCGTTGCATGTCGAGACAGGTTGCCGGAGCAAAGGCCACCTTTCGAACATGGATTTTGGTTTGGGATAAAGTAAATTTTGACTCACTCCCAGAGTTTCTAGGGGTTGATTCCCCCCTCTTTGCAACCATCGTTCGTTTCAAAAAAACAGTCGTTTTCACGAGGGTTCTGGAGGGTTTCTAGAATGAGGGAACCCTGGAAAGAATGGAAATGGAAGGTACCCCTAGAGAGTTCACAGACTTTAGTCACTTTCAGGCGAGTCCACATTTTAGTGGGTACAGTGAACAAGTTCAGATTTTTGTTAAGGCCGCTCCACATCGGAAGGGAGGTAAAAACAGACTGACCGTGGCCTCTTTATGGGTGTGTTGTTTTAAAGGTTGGACCCCCCCAAAACAGTGGTTTTCCTTCTGGTTTTCTTTTGAAACCACGGAAAAGACAGGGTACCAACTCCATAGCCAGCCGAGCCACCCATATTATTATTGCATAGGGGTTCCAACCAACTTTAGGCAACCACGGGAAAACCACACCTTTTTGTGCTTCGAATCCTTTACAAGGGGTGACCATTAGGGAAACCACACAAATACAAAAAAGCGTGACCATGGGACAAGTTACCCTATGGGTCAAAACTAGGGGCCGGACGGAATAAACTGATCGTACCCAAAATCGAACCCTGCCAAATGGTCACTGAAAGGCCTGTGGTCCCCTCTTTAATTTTGACCCATACCCATTTGGCGGTTGATCAATATTTCCTTCGCCCCTAGTTCTGACCATGCGTAACTTTTCCCATGCGGGAACTATCTCATCTTTTTGTCGTGGTTATCCTCAACCAATCGTGATCCCATGTATTTCTAACCTTTGATCCACCCATATGGCTCAAAATCAGGGTCCAAAGCGGAACCCCGGCAAATGGCAAGGTAGACTACCTGCGAAACCCCCAGTCGATGGTCGGCCAAGGTCTAAAACTCATGGGGGCTGGGGGGGAGGGAGGGGGGAGCCCAAATAAGCCCTAAATAAGGCCGTATTAAGGGCTTAATAAGAACTTATTTGGGCTCCCTCCCCCTCCCCCAAAAAATAGTAAAAGGAGAATTCAAAGAATTATTCTTTCTACTTTTTTTTTCCAACAGCAACACAACAAACAGAAAACAAAATCCAGAACAACAAGCAAACAAAATAAATAATCACAACCAGCAACAAAAATATTTAATCACAGCATGCAACATTAAATAATTCAAACAAGCATACCAACAAAACAGCAACACTCTAAATCATCAAAGAACCCAAACTCAAAAACACACATCAACAAAAAACAAAGCAACATACAAACAAAAAATATCAGAAGAGTATCAAACAAAATAAAAACAAACAGCCAAAGCACGAAAAAATCAAAAGAGCATACCAAGTCTAAACAACGCACTTTGAAAGAGATAAGCAAATTAGGAAAATATAATAATTCAATCTTTACAAACGATAAATATATTACAATTATAACATATAAGATTGTACATGTGATAATCATAGTACGATTAAGATTTGTTTTAAGTGTTCCAGCTCATAGTATTGATGCCTACTTTATTCCACCACCGTTCTATTTTGCTTGACCATCCTAATATAGTTTCTTTGTCAATATGTTTATTTTTCTTTTTATGTGTTTCATACTTGTATCTAATAATTGATTGAATAATTAAAACGTTTGCTTTCATAAATAAATTTCAGTTGCTCAGAGTTGTTAGGACCAGTTATGTCTATTTTGTTTAGTTCTATTCCATATTCTATAACCTTACTTTCATCATTGAGTTCATCATACATGTTGTTTAGAATTTCTCGATGATATAGTCTCATCATTAGTTCAACCGGTATTCCTGTTTGTTTCATTTGTTCAATTACTTTGGTCATTTCTTCTGCTGATGGATAAGGATTTATACGGATAAACCTTTTTACTTCTTCACTCTCTGTTTTCCTTTGTTCTATTAATTTATTTATTTTATCTTCGGTTAAAACATAGACGCCTTCCATTCTTACTATAATATATTAAGTATTTATTCCTTTAAGTCATTTTACATTATAATTATAACATATAGGGGTATAAATGTTATTATTATAGTATGGTTTTACTCATTATGGGTTGAATTGAACCACCGAAATGAGCCACATGAGGCAGTGGCAGGCTGTGTGAGCATGTGATGAAACCCTTTCCCCCAAAAAGGGGAAACCCTTCCCCCTTTCCCCCAAAAAGGGGAAGCCCTTCCCCCAAAAAGGGGAAGCCCTTCCCCCAAAAAGGGGAAGCCCCTTCCCCCCTAATTCAAACTCACCAAGATTTCACAAATTAATTCGCTAGGTATTTTGTATAAATCTTCCTGCTTATGTATTGTTGGATTGTCTCCCCAATTTTCCTTGGTGCCCGATGGCAGTCTCTGCGCTGTTTCAATATGTTTATTATTCCTGATGTTACCACAATCCTTTTTACATAATTCTCTAGGTTTCCAAGTTGTAATGTTATTCCATAGCCTAGTGCGTTTTCTGTAAGGCATTCCATATTTACAATAATCAACATCTTTAAAATTAAACTCATCCATAAACTCCTGATGTTTTAATAATCCAGTTTGTGGATTTTCGATCACAAAATATTTAGGATTGACATATTTGATAATCTCAATAGTTTTTAAGACAATACTATTTGCATATTCGATATTCCTAATTCCCCTAGTTTTTGCTATGCTGTATTCAGTGCATGGGGGACTACTCCAAATAAAATCAAAATGGTTTCTGTCAAACTGTTTGTAATCCCACTCCAAAATATCAGTGTTGATATCAGCATTTTTTAAGTCTAATGATATCACATTAAATCCAAGCGACTTTGCTATGGTTCCGACGCTTTTTGTTCCGCTAAATAATTCTAATAAATTCATTTATTAGAATTATTTAGATATTAATTATTCAAATAATACATATACTCCATCATCAGATTTTGAAATTTTATAAAATTCTAATGTTTGTTGCTTTGGTTGTTTGATTTTTCCTGTATTCAACATATCACAGTATTTCTTTTGCTTTGTAGGATAATCACCCGTTGGTCGTCCTATAGATTTTGCTTGAAATATCTTTTCGATTTTTTCCTTCTCCTGCTGTTCGCTTTCAACTGGTTTCATTTTGTCATCAATGGATTTAATCATATCATTTAAGGTTTTAATATTTTTACCAATTAATGTTATCTTCTTCATTAAATCATTAATAGTATAATTCTCATTTTCAGACATTACTATATATTTATTTAGATAATCATTTATTTAATTATACAATTTACCTGAATAATTTAATGTTATATATGTAAATAAATTATATTCTAAGAGTCTTTCATCAATTTTATTTTTCATTTGTATTAAACCTTCCTCGTCACCTGTAATTTCAAAAAAAATCAATATTTTACCAAAGTTATCTGGTTTAGTTATACCTTTCATAAAATATTTATCACTGAATTTAGCATCAAACCAATAAAAATATTCTTCACTCAATTGTTTAGCAAAGTTTTCATCACCATTGAATAGGTCTTTAATTTCTTCATCGTCAAAAGTTATAATTCTATGGTCTTCTCCATTCATTGTTGGCATTATGATTATATAAATAATTAGATATTTATTTATTTATTTAATTATATATATTTATAAAGTGCAATTATGTTAAATCTACTCTTTAAATACTAATTGTTCATCATTTGTTTAATAGTTTCCTGCGTTTCGTTTTCATTATTATCAGATGGTGTTGCTTGCCTACCAAATTTAAAAGTTATATTATGGACATCTGTTTCTAAGTTGATACTGTCTTTAGTTTTATCAATACTCATTTTCTTATCATTTTTACTTATTTTGAAACTTGTTGGAATACATGAACATTTACATGTTTTATTATTTTTTTTATTTCTAATTCATTTTTATGTTCTAACATATTTTTGCACATAGGACAAGCAATCTCAAATACTGATGTTTCTTTAACAATTTCTCCGCTATCTTCATTTGTTGAAGAAACACTTAAACCTATCTTATTCTTTTTGGTTTTCTTTTTTGGCATTTATATTAATATTTATGTTTTTAATATATTGTATCAAAAACTTAATTAATTCTAAAATAAAATAACATATTTTTTTACATCTATTATCAGTTATGACAACCCGTTCTATATTTTCTACTTCATTTATTATATCAATATAATCCGAATAACTCATATTCATATAAATAATAAGATAAAATAGTTATTTAATCTTATTATTTATATGCATAATAGAATATTGGTGGGGCTCAGCACTGGGGTTTTCTTTACAATGCATCAAACTAAT